CTGGTGGAGGTCAACTCTCAGCCGACGTTTCCTTATGTCTTCTTCATGGGCCAGATTCTGGCAAACCACTCTTATGTGAACTTTAGCCTAATACGGAAAACTAAAATTGAGAGTGTTCAGTGTCACACTGACCTGAGCACATGCTGCAGCAAAGAGAAGGGTAACCATCGTGGTGACTGGTACTTCCCTAATGGAAACCGACTGCCATTTGATGGAGCCAATGATATTCACCAGCATCATGACTATCAGAGAGTTGACCTACGTCGCACAAGTTCCACCTCACCATCTGGCATGTATCAATATGACATTGCAACCTTTTATGATAACACAACCACTCAATTGACTCGAAGCAGGGTGTATGTGGGATTGTATGCAAATGGAGGTTTGTATAGATAAATGTAGAAGCGTGTGATTTTTTCTCAATTTTACAGGAGATGTGTCCATATTTGGTGGTATTACACTGACTGTGGACTTAGATGGCTCCAGTCCTCAGTTTACCCTCAGCTGTATCTCCACTGGTGGACCTGCTACCAGAGTCACTTGGACCAGAGACTCCACCACTGTCACCCACGGGACTGAGACTGTTTTAGTCAATGCAACCACGGCAGAGTACATCCATACTCTGAAAGTGACTGGGAGAATGGAAGGAAGGTACACATGTACTGTGGTTAACAACAAACCATCAAATGGATCAGCATCTCGTGATTGTGAGGCTGCAATCAACTTTACATAATATGTTGGTGATTCTTTTGTGTTTATTCCCAATTCCTGACCAGCCAATAATATTTCTCGTGGGAAAATCTCCCAACTCTCTTAACTTTACTTGGAATGTTTCAAACACCACAGATGCTATCACTTATACAGTTGAATGGGAGAAAACAGGCTGTTTAGCTGAAAATCGAGAGAACAATGGCTCCATTACCACCAATTATACAAATTACAGTATAACAGGACTAGAGGAGGGCAGTAGGTACAACATTACTGTAACTGCAGAGGGACTGACTAACACTGTATATGCTGTGACAACATTGAAAGGTTAATGCTAGAGAATTACGTTTCCATAATGCTATTACCAAAGGTGTGTGTTTATTTTTTACAGCTCCATCTGCAGCTCCAAATGTGAGCAAGACTTTTGCAACTTCCTACTCCATCGCTATCAGTTGGGAGTTGGTGCCCTGTGAACATCAGAACGGAGAGATAACTGGCTACTCAGTGAGATATGGGGAGATGGGGACCAACGTGACAGACATGACAGTACTGAATATTACTGGAGCCAGCGTAACTGAGGCTACCATTTCTAACCTGACGCTGTCTACTAACTACTCAATTCAAGTTGCAGCAGTCAACAGTGCTGGTACTGGAGTGTTCAGTAATGCCACTCTGGTAAAGACAGTCGAACAAAGTCAGTTTTTACCTAATTTTGAGAAATCATAATGTGTGAACTGACCTATTTTATTATACCTACCTTCAGGTGTATATCTCACCTTTAGACAAACAATAATACCTGACTATGGCTATGTTATACTGGATGATATTGGCAGCACTGATGACACTGCTGTACTCTATCATACCAACTACCCTCCTCCTCCGGCAAAAAAAATTCTGGAGGAAACTGGTATGCTCCAAATGGGACAAGAGTGGGAGGTGACAATGGGCCTGGTGACCTAGGGTTTGTGAGAAACAGAGGTCCTCATGTGGTGAGATTGAAGAGATCAACTCCTGGTACTCCACTTGAGGGCATATACAGGTGTGTGATTCAGGACACCACAAACATCGATCAAACAGTTTATGTGGGACTCTATGCTTTAAATGGTATGTGACACACTGTGTTTGCTTAAACTTATAATCATGCAACATTTTTCAACCACCAGCACTTCCTCAAATTTCTCGTCTTCAATGATTGTGGCTGGAAACACTGCCACTAGTTATATGCCTATATACAGTGAAGTCAGTGTAACTACTGACTTACATAGAAGAGCATCAACCAGTGGGAACTCTACCTTCTTCACTACATCAAGTCACTCCAACCCAACCACTGTCTACACCTCTCAAACTTTAACTTCCAGCAGTGGAGGAATGCTCTCTAGACCAACCCCAACTCCATCCACCTTCTCCAAACCAACCCCAGCTCCATCCAACTTCTCCATACTTATCCCAACTCCATCCAACTCTAGTATAAGAATCTTGTTTAAGCCAACTCCAACTCCTAATCTTGAGTTAATAATATTTCCTGTATTAGTATGAGCAAATAATTATGCAGCTACACCCGACAGGTCTACTGATGATGGCTGGTTGTCTACTATGGCTATAACAATTGGAGTAATTGTAGCAACTCTTACAGTATCTCTCAGTGTTATTGGTCTGCTGTGTCTCAAAGGTTTATATTGTTCAAAGCATAGGAACAATTCTGAAGGTTTTAATTATTCTTTCATTACCTTTTAACAGGTAGTAAAGACCGAGTCACAAGTATCCACACTTCAACCAATGAGGCATATGGGGAGGTGAGGGGGAAAGGAGGAATTGCAGTCAACAGCATCCCAACCTCAACCAATGAGGTATATGGGAAGGTGAGGGAGAGGGGAGGGGTCCGTTTTACAACCTCTACCAATGAGGCAGCTGGGGAAGGAGAAGGAACGAACTGGTGAATTTCCCTTGCAAAGAATCACCTCTTCTTCCAGCTGGTATATTACAAGTGGAAAAATCATTTCTTCAAAATGAAAGGGGGATATAGGGACTTACCGACTCTCTAATAAACCAAAGGAGATGTATGAAGTTCCATTTTTCTTCTTCTCCACAATCCATTCTCCTATATAGGTGCAGAGGAGGACGCTGTATATGAAGTCATTTTTTGAGACCAGTGACTGCACTCATGTGCTTTTGTGCATGTAGCTTATGGCTAGAGTTTGTGATAGTGCCCTTTAATAAGAATCATTGCAATATATAGCTACAGTGGCCAAATTCTACGGTTATAGGTGAAATTGATCAGACAAAGAAAGGGTGGCATAAATAGACAAAGCTAACGCACAGCCTTAATCGCACGATATTTATTATAATTATTTTAATATCGTGTTCGAACTTAACGTACCAAAAAGAAAGACGGTTGTATGTGTCTTAGCTGTGATTGAAAAAATGATTTTGCACTTGGCTTCACCTAATATTTCTGAAACATCACGGCAATGTCAAAATAGGTTAAAAATTAGTGTGGCGACACACATGTTGTTGTTCGATCAGAGGTAGGTAACCCCCAGTTCTAAAGCTTCCACCACACCTATCTCAATGTGTGTGGTCAGGTGATTTACCTTTTGCCTTGTGTACTGTTGGTATGTTTATCTAAAACAAACAATCTGTGTAGGCAATCATTGCATAAACCAACACGATGTAGTGAGCTAAAGGTCAGACACAGAGTGTGTAATGATGTTTGAGGTGGTTACTGGTCAACAGCTTCGATAACATTTCCCGATTTTTTCAGAGTTATAAAATATAATGATGACACAAAGTATTAAGCTACTTAAATTTCAATGTTTTTCCTTGTGGTGATGATTTGTGGGGATAGATGACTGTGACCCTTGTTTACAAGCATTGCTATGACCCGGATTACTCTCCAAGTAAAAAGTAAGCACAAACTGCTTCTGTAGCCGTTTGCTTCATGTTTTTCCCCTTACATAAGGTGACTGAATTATTACCAAAAGCGTAGTAGAGAGCATGCACAAGCAATATTGCTCATATGTGAAGCATTGTGCATGCACAATTCGACTTGGACAACCATCATACACAATTATACAAACAACGCCAAATCTTTCACCCCACCTTAATGTTTTTAGATCTTGTGATTACTTTTGCCTTGTTTAGCATTAGCCAATAACCACAGCGTTGATCTGGTAATAAAACAAACAAACTGTTTAGCTCATACAAAAGAGCACATGCCACAGACTCAGTCATAGAATAAGTCATGATGTTGGTGGTGGTCATTTCCCTCAGTTTCCTCTGGTCCCTGGTGGAGGTCAACTCTTGGACCCCTCCTTATGTCTCCTTCATGGGCCAGACTCTGGTCAACCACTCTTATGTGAACTTTAGCCTAATAGGGAAAACTCAAAGTGATAGTCTTCAGTGTCACACCGACCTGACAACATGTTGTGACAATAAGCAGGGTATCCATCGTGGTAACTGGTACTTCCCTAATGGAAACCAACTGCCTTTTGATTACTTCACTGATATTCACCAGCATCGTGACAATCGGAGAGTTGATCTACATCGTAGGAATGCCACCTCACCATCTGGGATGTATCGTTGTGACATTGCAACTGTTGAGCTCCATGATAACACTACCACTCAATTGACTCGAAGCAGGGTTTATGTTGGATTGTATGCCAATGGAGGTTTGTGTTAACCAAAATTATAGGTGGTACTAAAACACATAGTTATTTTCATCTATACAGGAGATGTGTCTATATCTGGTGGTGTTATGCTGAATGTGGACTTTGGTGAGTTCAGTCCTCAGTTTAGCCTCTCCTGTGTATCCACTGGCGGACCTGCTACCAGAGTCACTTGGACCAGAGACTCCACCACTGTAACCCAAGGGACAACTGAGAGCCTATTTAGTCATGCACCACAGCAGATATATCCATACTCTGAATGTGACTGGGAGAATGAAAGGAACGTACACATGTACTGTGGCTACAACAAACCATCGAACTGATCAGCATGTCGTGATTGTGAGGCCCTCATGCAACTTTACAAAATATGTTATTGATTCTTTTGTGTTTCTTTCCAGTGCCTGACCAGCCAATAATATGTTCTCATGGGAAAATCTCCTCCAACTCTCTGTAACTTTACTTGGAACGTTCAAACACCATAGATACTAAAACTATACCTTTAAGGCATAGATAGGGTGTTTAGCTGAAAATCGAACAAACAATGGCTCTATTACCACCATGATACAAGTTACATCATAACAGGACTAGATGAGGGCAGTAGGTACAACTTACTGTAACTACAGGGGACTGAGTAACACTGTATCTGCTGTGACAACATTGAAAGGTCAATGCTAAAATATTACGTTTTCCATAATGCTATTACCAAAGGTGTGTGTTTATTTCTGCAGCTCCATCTGCAGCTCCAAATGTGACCAAGATTTTTGCGACTTCCTACTTCATCACTACAATTGGGAGTTCTTGGTGCATGTGAACATATAAAAGAGATATATTACTGGCTCTCAGTGAGTATGGAGAGATGGGGCCCAACATGACAGACATGAGCGTACTGAATATTGCTGGGCCAGTGTAACTGAGGTTACCATCTCTAACCCAACCCTATCTACTAACTACTCATTCAAGTTGCAGCAGTCACAGTGCTGTGTACTGAGTGTTCAGTAGTGCCACTCTTATAAAGACTGTCGAAAAAAGTACTTTACCTTGTTATATAAATAAACATGTGCCTGACCTATACTTTCAGGTGTACATCTGACTTTTAGACAAAATTATTCCTAACAATGGTTCTGTGATGCTGGATGATATTGTGGTCAACTGATGATACTGCTCTGGTCTGTCATGAACCGACAACCCTCCTATTCCTCCCATGAAACTTCTGGAGGAGACTGGTTTGCTCCAAATGGGAAGAGAGTGGTGGTGACCATGGGCTGGTGACCTAGGGTTTGTGAGAAACAGAGGTCCTCATGTGGTGATACTGAAGAATCAACTGCTGGTCTACTCCACTTGAGGGACATATAGGTGTGTGATTCAGGACACACAAGAATAATCAAACAGTTTATGTCAGACTCATGACGTATGTGCTATCTGTGTTTTTGGCCAAAACTTACAATGCAAACATTTTCAGTCCCAGTATTTCCTCGACCTCCTCTTCTTCCATGTGGCTGGAAACACTGTCAGTACTCTATGCCTATGTACAGTGAAGTAGCGTAACTACTGACTTGCTGGAACAGCAGTCAACCAGAGTGACTCTACTCTCCAAGCCAACTCCATCCATCTCTAGTATAAGAATCTGTCTCTAAGCCAACTCAAGCCCCACGTATGTTCTCCATGGCCAACGCCATCCATCTTTAGTATAAGAATCTTCTTTAAAACAACTCCAACACCTAATGATGGGTTATATTTCCCTGTAATAATTACAAGTGCAACGAATTAATGCACCCCCGACAGGTCTACTGATGATGGCTGGTTGTCTACTGTGCTATAACAATTGCATTATTGTAGCAGCTCTAATAGTATCTCTCATGTTTTTGGTCTGCTGTGTCTCAAAGGTTATTATTGTTCAAAACACAAGACAATTCTAAAATGTTTTTTCATTACCTTGTAACCAGGTTGTAAGACCGAGCACAAGTATGGGCCACACTGTCAGTCCAATGAGGTCAATATGGGGAGGTGAGAGGAAAGGTGAGAATGGCAGTCCATCGAGCACGTGCCCAACCGTCAACCATGATGTGCATATGGAACAGTGAGAGAGTAGAGTTTCATATTACGAGACCTCTAGAAGCCCAATGAGGCAGCGGGAGGAGAAGGATAACGAACTGGTGACTTTCCCTTGCAGCGAATCAACCTTTTCTCTTCCAGCTGGTATAATATACAACTATAGGAGATGTGTTGCAGTTTTGTTTTTCCTTCTGCTCCATAACCCATGTCCCCTAGATAGCTGCAGAGGAGGAGGACGCTGTATAGGAAGTAATTTCGGAGACCAGTGGTACTGTACGTCAAGTGTGCGTGGTTGTGCATGTCTCAAGGCTAGAGTTTGGTAAACACAGGGCCCTTTAATAATAATCATTGCAAGTCGCCATATTCTAAACGCGGTTAAGGTTCAATGTACCAGAACAAGAAAATGGCATCAAAACTCGACAAAGCTAGTGCCGTAAAAAATGTGAGCGAGCCTTTGTGTGCACGATAAGAATATGATGTGTGTGTTTGAAGCTAACGTAGTCAAAAGAGAAGACAGTTGTACGTGCATGTGTCTATGGCTGCACGATTAACGGAAGTTATTGTTTCCACTGGCTTCAGGACCATTGCTGAAACGTCACAGGAGGTTTAATGTAGGTAGCTATGACACAGGTTGTGAAGGATTGCGCCCAACGGTCAGTTCTTGCTGCTCCTTAGTTGATTCTCTAGCAAAAGTATATCTTCTCATGAACTGCGCGAATGCATAGACTTTATTAGAGCGTCTGTAGACGCTCTATATAGGGATGGCACGAGTGAAATCTCACGTGATCCGCGTACAAAACGCCTAAAACTCGTTGAGGATGACTCCCGGATCCCTAGGCCTTTAAAACACGCTAGCAATAGTCTACTGGCCCATATCTACCTATACATGTTCCCAAATACCTCATACGCACATTCAGTTCTCCACGCGAGACTTCGCTCATACGCGACTACATGATTTTCGTCATCATATATTCTTCTTCTTCTTCAATCCCGCTATCTCCTTACCAGAACCAGTTGAAGCGCTGATTTTTTCACTGAACGTCTCCAATTTCGCCGGAGGTGTGCACGGACATCAAGCGATCGTTTCTTTCTTGCCGTAAGTCACTACGGTAGATCATGGAGCTCTTCCATGGTCGACACTGAACAACGCCATTTTCTGCCAACTCAGCATCAGTAAGCCGCGCGCACGGATGCGTTGTCGAATGCGCTAGCTGTGCGCGCGTATTGTTACCGACAGACCTGCAGAGGAACTCTTAGCCTCCAGTGCCTTCTGTAAGTCAGTGTGCACATTTCCAACTGGCTAGCTTGCGTTTTGCTGTTGATTTACACGGTTGGCAAAGTCAGCGCGGTGTTACGCGAGCATTGCCATGGCAAAAAAGGGGCCTTCATTTGTCCCCCCTAGGTTGTAGCCCTGATTACCAAAGCCTGCCTGAAACAACAACCGTGTGCCATAACCTAATTACATCCTTGTTGAAGACAATACCTGAGGTGAATATTGTATCTAGCTAGCTCCTGCTTCAGGCATTAGCAGCCCATTAGCTACTTAAGCGTTCAACAATTATTAGGTTTGTCTTTGGTATCCTATCTACAACATACCTATGAACTCAGAGTGACTGTAACAATAAATGCAATGTTGTCATAAAGCTGTTAAAAATAGTGGAAAACAGTGGAAATCATTCTTCAATGAAGGGGGATATAGGGATGGCTTGAAGCACCAAAAAGGAAGAAACAAGGGGTCATTACACAGCTAAGATGCACAAAGCTACATGACACCATCCCTACCAACCCCTGCCCCTCAGCCTTGCGGCTGGGATAGTAGAAATGATACACATAAGCATGAGAGACGATGTGACTTTCAAAGGTTTGGGAGAAGAAGTCAGCCTTGTCCTCGACAGGATCTAAGGCCAAGAACGGGGGATATGGCGTCTGATACCCAGAGAAGGGTTGAATTTACCTAATCTCCAAGGCTCTGAGGATGGAGAGATTGTTGGTATCCCAAGAGCCCAAGCATGCCACCACTAGCACTAGAACAGAAGTCTTGAGGACCAGGAATATAATAAGTAATGAGTTCCAAGGGCGACCAAAACATTATCAAATGAAAAGCACTGAAGTGCAAACCCTTGGCGCACTGTGATGCGCGCGCGTAAGTAAACGCATGTGCCGTACCACTAATTGATGGGCTGGGTTTAGTTTTAGCTGTTACTCGTGGTCTCTTGCCAGCTCGCGCAGAGTCTGACGCGGGCTAACTACACTACTAGATAGCATGCGAGAGGCGATACACGCCTGCGTTGCATCTTTGGTGCCTCGAGGTACGCAGAGCACGCGGATCGGTCAATGCCTTAGAAAGCCGTTGTGTATTTGCATATTGGCCTTTTTCCCGCTCTAGCTTAGCAACAGGAGCGTCTTTCAGAGAAAACCGCCTTTATTTTCTGACCTTCGTCGCCCGTTGGGTAGATGGTATCCTTTCTGGGACGAACAGACGTTCGAGAAGTGAGATGTAGAGTAACAGACAGAGAACCCAACTACTGTAACCCTCGCTGCGCATGCGCGCCGAGGGTTAAAAATGGGCTTAGCTGTGCTTGAAATCGATAACAACCTTCCAATGCGCACAAGGCATAGCTAGTTTACGTTAGCTCAGTGTGGGGTATGTGATGTCCAGAGCTGCAGCTAATATTTTGCTTTGCGTAAACTTTTTGTTACTTTTGCTACAAACTAAACCATTTATCTGTTAGTTTACTAACAGCTAAGCATTACATAAGAGTGAGCACAAACCACAAAGAAATTCGAACAAAGAGGCAAAGAGACAGTAATGATGTTGATGGTGGTCATTTCCCTCAGTCTCTTCTGGTCCCTGGTGGAGGTCCACTCTCAGCTGACCTTTCCTTATGTCTCCTTCATGAGCAAGCCTCTGGCAAACCACTCTTTGTGGAATTTAGCCAAATTAGTCTTCAGTGTCACACTGACCTGAAAACATGCTGCAGCGGTGGGCAAGGTATCCATCGCGGTGACTGGTACTTCCCTCATGGACACCGACTGCCATTTGGTGGAGTCAATGATATTCACCAGCATCGTGACTATCGGAGAGTTGAACTACGTCGTAGGAATGCCACCTCACCATCTGGCATGTATCATTGTGACATTGCAACTGTTGAGCTCCATGATAACACAACCACTCAATTGACTCGAAGTAGGGTGTATGTTGGATTGTATGCCAATGGAGGTTTGTTTTAACCAAAATTATTAAAGAACATGTAATTTTCTCATCTATATACAGGAGATGTGTCTATATCTGGTGGTGTTACACTGACTGTAGACTTTGATGGGTTCAGTCCTCAGTTTACCCTCAGCTGTATCTCCACTGGTGGACCTGCTACCACTGTCATGTGGACCAGAGATTCCACCACTGTCACCCATGGAACTGAGACTGTTTTAGTCAATGCAACCACGGCAGAGTCACTCCAATATACTCTGAATGTGAACTGGGAGAATGGAAGAAGTACCATGTACTGTGGCACAACAACCACTCAAACGGATCAGATGCCGTGAGTTGTGAGGCTACATCAAATTTACTTAAATTTGTTGGTGATTCTTTTGTGTTCTTGCCCATGGCCCTGGCCACCCATAATAGTTCCGTGGGAAAATCTACAACTCTCAAAATTTATTTGGAAGGTATCAAACACACAGATAATAGTAACCTGTACAGTTAATGGGAGAAATAAAAAAAAAAAAAAAATCCCAACTCTCTAACTTTATTGGATGTTTCAACACCATAGATATAAAACTATACGTTTAAATGGCAAAAGTAGGGTGTTTTAGCATGAAAATCAACAAACAATGGCTCTATTACCACCAAATGATACAAGTTACTCATAACAGGACTAGAGTAGGCAGTAGTTACACATTACCTGTAACTACGGGGACTGAGTACATGTATCAGCTGGACTCATTAAAAGGTTAATGCTAAAATATTACGTATAATGCTATTACCCAAATGTGTGTTTATTTCTGCAGCCCATCTGCAGCTCCAAATGTGACCAAGATTTTTGCGACTTCCTACTTCATCACTATCAATGGGAGTTCTTGGTGCCTTGTCAACATATAAAAGGAGATATTATACTGGCTACTCAGTGAGATATGGAGAGATGGGCCCAACATGACAGACATAAGCGTACTGAATATTGCTGGAACAGCCATGTAACTGAGGCTACCATCTCAACCCAAGCCTATCTACTAACTACTCAATCAAGTTGCAGCAGTCAACAGGGCTGGTAGCTGGAGTCGTGGGTGCAGTAGGCCACTCTATAAAGACTGTCGGCGAAAAAAGTAACTTTACCTTGTTATATAAATAAACATGGCACTGACACCTATACTGGCAGGTGGACATCTGACTTGTAGACAAAGTAATTCCTAACAAATGGTTCTGTGATGCGGGAGGATATTGGGTCGATCTAATGGTGAGTGATCCTTTTATGCTCACTGCTCGCCGTCTGTCATACGACAACCCTCCTAATACTCCCAGTGAGAACTCTGCAGGTCGATGACGTTTCTGCATCCAAACTGGGAGAGCGTGACAGATGTAGCCTCGGTGACTAGGGAGTGTGAGAAACAGATGGTCCTGCACGTGTGAGAATGACAGGTAGATCAACTGCTGGTACTCACACGGAGACATACAGGTGTGTGATTCAGGACCACCAAAGAAGAATCAAACAGTTTATGTCAGACT